GGGTTTATTAAAGTTCTAACCTAAGCAATGCATAGAGCAAAAAGCTGCTCTGCACACCGTAAACAATGACGGCTGACGCAAATCATGAGAATTTAAGCTGTTTAATATTTCTAAATCTGAGCAATATATGTTTTATTAGCTTATGAACTCCATTGTACATGTAATAAAATAAAGTGTAGGCTATATGAAGTGAAGTTTATTAAATACATAAAAATACGTTTTTTTGCGGCACACTTGGACAGTGCTCGCGGCAACGCAGTGTGCCGCGGCACACCTGTTGGGAACCACTGCTCTAGATGCTTTAGGAAAATGTATGAGATCCCCGAGTTTTAGGCAGAATACAATACAAGCTGGTTTTAAGTCTGTATAACATGGAAGTAGAAATAATACAGTAAACATAGTACAATGATTTAATAACAGACGACACAACTTTTGATAATGAACAACTGGTGGACACTTACATTTATCTAATGCAATTTTTCACACAAGACTAAATAGACTTTAAATACAGAAAATGCCTTTAAACTATTTGAATGTGACCTTATTAGATATCCTGATAACTTATTATAAAATACTATTGTGTTATGAATGTGTTTTCCTTTATCAGGGTTAATGATGCATTGTACAAATTAATATAAGTATAACTTGTTTTTTAAAACTATATTTTTCTAATTGTCATTCATTCATTCATGAGTTTGATACACCAAACTCACTTTATGTACAAGTTGTTAAAAAATACATTCACATTCAATTAATTAAACACTTTTAACAGCAGACAATACATTATGCAGTGAGGTGTTTTAAACCAGGGGTTCCCAACCTTTATTGTGCCAAGGACCGGCAAATACGTACATTAAAAAAAATTCGCGGACCTGTTGTCAATTTTAGCTGATTTGAATATTTACTCACCAGCAGGTGGCAACAGAGGCTAATTGTATTTAACAGCCTGAAGAAATACCAATATGCATCCAAAACATATTATAACGTTTAAAACCAGGATACAATTAAAACAAAAAATTAGGACCGCTTTACAAATATTAATATAATATATAATATAGCCTAATATAGGTGGCAACAGTGGCTGATTGTATGTAACAGCCTGAACAAATAATATAACAATATGCATCCAAAACATATTAACACAGTTTAAAACCAGGATACAATTAAAACAAATTATGACCACTGTACACATATTGATATAACTGAAATGTCAGTGAGACCCCTGGGCTTGTTTGCCAGCCATAATAACGTCATACCGGGGCGTTCGTTCCGGTGCACTCCGACAGCATTTAGCACTACATCGAGATTAAGATTAAACTAACTTCTTTTGGGAACACCCACATACCTATGGAGTTGTAAATTACTGTTCATGGTAATTTGAAAACAAATGCCGTTGTTGGACACACACAAACACACCGAACATACACACACACACAGCGGAGCTGAGCAGAGCACATACACACACACACATCATGCGCCTTTGTGACCGGACATTTCCTTCATACTACGAGTAATAGGGGGAATAATCGGGCCGTTCGATGTGTGTGTGTGTAGAGGTGTGTGTGTGTGAAACGTAGCAGCCTGCAGTGGGGAACACAGTGAAGGCGGTGTGTACGCGCTGGTGCTGCACTTCTCAGAGGCTGCCTCCTGATGCTGCAGCCGTTTCATGAAGTGAAGGAGGTTTTACAAATAGCTCTACACCCCTGGCCGCAATGTCCTTAAAATAAAGTCTGAGTTCGAAATATATCTCAAATAATGTATGCACTGCCATTTCCCCACATAAACATAACAGTCTGCGATTAAACGGTTGTCTCCTGTGTGCTCCACTTCCTATTGGCGCACCGGTAACTTTGGTAACCAATTTTAATTTATTTTGGATGTTTTGGATGAAATAATATGACTGGTATAGGTGCGAAAATAAAAAAAATAAAAAAAACAATTGATAAAATATTTTTAAATATTTATAATTCTGCAAATATTACGATAAACTCACAGCTATTTCGCGGCCCGGCAGTAACACCTCCACGGACCGGTACCGGTCCGTGGACCGGGGTTTGGGAACCCCTGTTTTAAACCATATATTTACTCCATTTGTAATGATTTGAGGCAGATGTTGTCACATTAACTTCAAAGTTGGCCCTGATCCAAAAGATTTCCACCTTTGCATGTTATAATGAGATAAGTACACGCTTTGGCAGGCTGTATTATCAGTCAAGTGGGGTAGTCAGGTCTTCTTGGAAAGTGTTCATGACATGGCACTCTGCTGGCAGGATTTCATACTGCATTGTTTTGCAAAAAATACAGTTTTGAATCTGAAGTGCTTTGTGCCATCAGCATTTGTTTGAAAAAAGTTATCTTTCACAGCATGTAAGGTTTTACCGGATACATAAACATCTCCTGGACACGTTAATTAACAACAGAGGAAAATTGAAGCATGGAAAATATGGGTATTGTTTTTTTCCTATTGCCCTTCCTCCCTTCAGAACAAATCAAATTAAGTTTGGTATTTCATCAAATGCCGACCTCAGCGGGTGTTTCTGCTATCATGAGGTATCATCATTTTCACAGGTTCTTAGATTAGCAGCTGTTAGGCCCATTTCTGCTTCTTTGTCACAGGGAAGACTTGCAAGGCTTCTGCAACAGAATACCAGAGACATATGAGAGCTTCTCCACGGCTAAAGTCGGATCCTCTGCAGTGCCAAGTTGCATTAAAGAGATTACCACAGAGACCCAAACAATGCCTGAACTTCAGTAACCCAATACGCATAACAGGACAATATTTATGCAAGGTTAAAAAAAAAATGCTGCTTTGTAACTGATCTATTTATACCCTTTAAATACAGTCTTCTGTTTAACTGTGTGCATTTAGTGGCACCGTTACTTCTGCTGTAAAATATTTTACTGTGAGCAAATGTCTCCCTGGCCATGTACTGCAGTCATAAAGGACGTTGTGGGTTATTTAAAATATAAATAAAAATGATACTGATTCATATTATTATAAAAAATATACATCATAGCAAAACTTCACTATAATGATTTTGAGGAAAAGTCCTTATATTCAATTTTCATTTACATTTTTGCCCTTGTAGACTCATGTCAAAGTGACCAGAGTTATTTGTGATCAATGGTCGGCGATGTTTAGCAACAAAAGATACCAGAGATCAGATTAGGAAACAATTTCAAGCATGACGAATTAAAGGTACATGACCAAATAAAGCAAGTCATTGCTGCTGAATGAACACCGATCTCTCTATATAAGAAGGGGGCTGGACGTCAGACTGAGACACGACCAGCCAAGGTGAGTGTGGAACAGTCTTTTATTAGCAGGAGCATCAGTTTGGTAAACAATGCAGGGCTTGACCACACAATACCAAACACCACACACTGAATGCTGAATTGTCTGTGTCAGGCTTCTTGTACAGTCAGTTCAACTACAGTTACTAATTGAGACTTTCTTTTTTCTTCAGAACCCTCATTAGACCATCATCTTCTGAGAAGGGAATAAGGTATTTCATTTATTTTACTACTGTTTCATTTTGTCAAACAATAGCTGAGTACAGAGAAGATACAGTATGTGATAACTGACATTTTGTTGAATGACTTTATGGTCATCAATTGTCAAACTTGTGTGTTAACAAATAAATTAACATAGCTAATGTTGTATCTGACTTAAACAATTATGCCTGCAGCATTTAATTGTAAGATTTATCAAAACGTTAATAGCTTTGTTCATTAGTAAAGTACCATCATGACAAGAGATACAGACTGACTTCAAGTCCTGCTGCCTGTTCTTACCTGCCTGCAGTAAAGACTCACCATGGGGGACGCAGAAATGGAGTGTTTTGGCCCGGCGGCCGCTTACCTCCGGAAGCCAGAACGAGAGAGACTTGAGGCTCAAACAATTCCCTTTGATGCTAAATCAGCGTACTTTGTGACCGAGCCTGCAGAGATGTTCCTCAAGGGGAAACTTGTGAAGAAAGAGGGGGGGAAAGCCACCGTGGAGACCCTCTGTGGAAAGGTAATGTTGATGGCTGTTTTAATTTGCAATGAAAACTGTTTGACAGACTGTGTTTTCTTAAGGGAGAAATGTATATTGTATATTGGTTTGAAATACCAGTGCATCAAGTGCATGTCTTGTGTTGGAACCAAATATGTTTTTTAAAACTGTACGGGGTGGACACTCATTTATTTGAGCACCATTAGGAGGTACTTGAGCTTTAATTAATGCTAATTTATAATTCTTCTGCTGACCAATTAAGAGAAAAATATTGTATTTTTCTACTCCACTACATTCATCTGATTATTTTTATATTTGTGTTAACAATAAAGAATATCTAAGAATAAAAGCAACAAATGGTTCATCATGTGATATTATAGGTACAAATACACAAGGTAAAGATAAGTAGTACATGTATTAAAAAAGAATCTCCTCCTTTGCAAAATAAATTATAATATAAATTATAATTAAAAAATATGACATTTATTCTGAAATGGTCCACTGTGCAGAATGAGTATTGTACTTGTTCCTACCTAAGTTTATTTTGATCAAAAGACATTTCTGATTTTCAATTAGTAACTAAGTAAAAGTTCTGATTTCATCTACCACCATTATGAATACCGCCTTGTTTGTCAAAACTGAAGGTCTGTGTTTTTCTTTTCTTGTTACAGACTATCACTGTTAAAGACACTGAAATCTTCTCCATGAACCCTCCGAAGTACGATAAGATTGAGGACATGGTCATGATGACCCACCTCAGTGAACCTTCTGTGCTGTATAACCTCAAAGAGCGCTATGCAGCATGGATGATCTACGTGAGTTTTGTGCTGGAGAGTGATTTATTTTATTGTATGCACATGTATTTGTAAAAAGATTGATCATCCTTTGATATTTCACACTGTTGTAGACCTACTCAGGGCTGTTCTGCGTCANACTGTAAAAGCACCTTGATGGCACTCTCTGAGAGGGATGGATACTCGTGTCCCACAAGCAGCCAAAATATATCCAGACGTAGTTCCCTGAAACTGAAGCACAGGGAACTACGTCTGGATATATTTTGGCTGCTTGTGGGACACGAGTATCCATCCCTCTCAGAGAGTGCCATCAAGGTGCTTTTACAGTTTCGAACCTCCTACTTGTGCGAGCTGGCGTTTTCCTCACTCGCATATGTCAAAAACAAGACCCGGACCCGGCTGTCAGTGGAACAGGACCTCCGCGTTGCGCTGTCCACTATCCCCCCACGCATCAAGAGACTCTGCTCACAAAAGCAGGCACAAGTGTCGCACTAGCACCGTGTAACGGTCTGAGAAATGTTTATGTTTGGATGTTCATTTGTGTGCCTTTCTTATAAATGTATGATTTATGATTTTGTCAATCAGTATTATCTGGATAGCGAAATGCAGAATGTTTCATATTTGGGATGTGGTTGATGAGTCACATGACCACAGTCAGGTCAGAGGGCATTGTTTCATCCCTCCAATTCTATTAAGTTATTATTTAATCTAAGTGATCATAGGCCTGCCTCTTTTGAAATCCAAATGTAAAATAATAACTGTATTGATATGTATTCGTGTTTTTACACAGGTAGGCCTACTATTTTCAGCCAAAACAAAAGAGCCTACTTAGTAGGCCTGTTTATAATATTGAATTCATCATAGAAATGGTGTTGACATTTTTAGTCTGGTTCTTGCTAGTATGTGTGAATACATTATTTGTTCTATAAAATGTTCTATTCGATTAAATACACATTTGAAAACCAATTTATGGTGTATTTATGGTTTTTAGTTTAAGCTCTGAAGTGGTTTTTAAATCTACAAAAAGTTGGGGTGCCTTGGGGTCGAGAAATATTTTTCAGGGGTGCCTTGGTAAAAAAAAGGTTGGGAACCACTGATCTAGAGACCACTTAGAGTAAATTATAATCCATATATAATGCATTATAAGAGGGATTATGCAGAAAATCATGGTGTGGCTGGCAATTATAATACATGAGCTATATTTATAAGTAAATATAATGTACTGTTATAAAACATTATACATATTAATGAGTGGTATAAAAACCTTTTCATTGGAGACATTTTTAATACAATGACTGTATATTAATAAACATTTAAAGGTGGCCTCATGTCTTCTTATTATATTATATTATATTATATAGGATTAGATTCAACTTTATTGAGATTACACAGGTAGTACCAAGAAAGGTAAATGCAGTTATAATTTAACCAGAAGTGCAAAAGAAGCAGTAAAGTGGAGTATAATATAAGTATACTGACGGATACAAAATATATAGTATATACAGTATGAACAATAGTGTAGAAATTGAATACAATATAGAGCTGGTATGAATATAGGCAGCAAATATAGACACACTAGAATGTAAAATATGAATACACTATTAAGAAACTCTTTAAAATATTATTATTACAATTAATTGTATTGTAACATTAAGGTGTGTTACAAGGATTTTATTATATGTGCGTATGCTACTCATAAATGCTAAATGTTTAAACGTCATAATGCATTGTTCAATGTGCAGTGGTCGATCGTGTCAACATAGTGACATTTTTCTTGGGAACAGAACTAATTTGACCTCATATCATTAAAACTAGTCAAGGAAAAGCAGTCCTGTTTTTAGACTAATCACATATTATCCCAAAGAATGTTCGCAATTACTGAGGAATAAATCAGGCATCCAAAGCCATGCATTGTCTTGGTTGCGTTGCACAAAGGAACAGACAGGCAGTGTTTGCCCGAGCCCTCGTTTTATTTTTGCACCTAATACTTTCCAGCAAGTCTGAGCCATTGCAATTTCTATGGCATTGTGCCTCAGAAATACAATTGACCTTGAACTACACACTGTCTGGAAAGTGGAAAGTCAAGGGGGGGCAGAGCAATTTATTTTTAATGTGAGTCATGAGATGGAAGGAGATGTGTAAAAACTGCGATCTCATTTGGTACTCTCACAAGGAGGTTAAGTATCAACACAGTAATTTCAAATAAATCCCAACATTAACTTTTCACAGTGACTCGGGACAAATTATTTGTAAATGTAGAATTAAAAGAGGCAGTAATACATGTTTAAAATATGATTGTTAGTTGTCGTGTACAAAGGTCGGAAGTGAGACCCTGTTGCTGCCATGTTTACACTCTTCGACATTAGTTTACATGACTTCTAGAAATCTGCCTTCACAGAAAAGCGTGTCAGGTTTCTCCCACTGACAGCGCTCTGTCACAGTCTGAGGATTCATTTTCCCCTTTTTTTAGATTCATGATTTGCCCTAAAGTCTCACACCGTACTCTTGCGAACCAACAGAATGACAAAAATGTTGCAATATACTGGCTCGGATGTCTTATTTCCGTGGTTGTTTATGAGGGTGTGATGATCCTCGAGCTCAGACGGATGGCAGACACAACCTTTTTAACTGGGGTCGTCTGGCAGGGTCAAAGGACTTCAGCTTTCAAGGGACTGTCTCTGAAATCTGATATCACCAACATTATCACACAACCTTCCAGTGACACATCAAACAGGGGGTTAAGAATATTGTTACATATCATTATCTTTTTTTTAACCAAATATATTTTTGTCTTATTCAGTTTTTTTTAACTGATTATGAATGAATAATTGATTATGGTAGTAGTTCCCAAACATTTTCTGCAGGGCCCCTCCATGTAAGATTAAAAATGTTTCAACTCTAACAACATTCATTGCTTTTATTGGATTCTTCTCAAAATTGCCTTTCTGCACAGAAATAGCAAGTTCACCATCTCGCTGAACCTTTTCTCTTCAAGATTAAACCTATAACTCACTATTTAAATTACATGTTTAAATTAAATCAGAATGTTTCCAGTTTGATCCTGCCGAGGTTTACATTTGGCTCACATTAACAATAAAGGTCCAAATGTGTACTGAAAAATGTCTTTCTCTCTAATTACATGGTCTTGATATTTTTTAAACAAATAAATGGGTAAATTATGGTGTCTGATCATTTTCTTTTTTTATCACTTTCACCCTTCATATATTCCAGCATGTCAGATTACACCTCAACATTTCTGACAGTAAACACCAGGCTCAGTTTTTGACCCTCAGTGCGCTGAAAGTCAAAGGGTAACAGGTTTTCCTGTCGACAACTCAACCGTAAGTATGACACATGAGTAAAGGTTTTGACCCCTGTAAATCACCTCGTCTATAGGCGCTGGTGACTCGGCTTGTTGTCTTACATGTCGTGCTTCATGAAGGTTTATTTGTCTGTAAACTCCTTAAATGTATAATGAGGCTCCATTGTCCGACGTGGAATCTTTAGTGAACAGATGATAAGGTTTGTGTTTCCGCGTTTCTCGCCTCAGTCACTTGTGTTGTCTCAAGGGTGGGCACGTATTTATAAACCTTTTCTTTAAATGGACTTGTACTGTGTGCCTTTGACAGATGAACTGAAGACAAGGGCAGACAACTAGCTCGACCTTCTCTTAAGGCAAGTGTTTGTTCCCCATGCGCGACAAGAAGGGGATCACGTTACACGATGTGTAGTATCGAGCATTCTTTCCTTGTTGAAAGATGACACTGAACTGGCAAAGATGGCGAGAGGGCATTACATACTCATGACTTCACACCCTGCCAAAGAGGACTATATATTCTATAACAATGTGAAACTTGACCTCTTATGCTCCCGTGTGTGCTTATTTGGAAGAAATACAAATATAGCTGTCTCCTCCACAGTGTTCTCAGAGCTCAGCCATTTGTCATTGCCTCGAGTCTTATTGTGGAACAACCTTTGATATGAAACACTCAGTTCCTCGGTGGTCTCATGCTCATACTGTATAAAAAAACTACTGAAGTTTCTATCAATATTTTAAGCCTGAAGATTTAAAACGTGTTGGGTTTATCTACAGGGGGTCAAATCTTTAGGAGCAACTGCCTGTAATGATACCAAGAAAAAAAAGAATGACTTTAAAAGATTACCTTACTAATAATTTAGAAAAATGTAACCCCTTTTGTCCAATTTCTATCATTGTCCAGCAAGCTTTAGGTCTTAAATCAAAGTTATAATATAATGATTAATTAAATACATTTAGCAAACAATTATCTAATTATGATAATGATACAGTATGCAGTTCATAAAACAGTTAAAAGTCCTTAATTTATGATGAAAATTCTTCCATCATTTCGGAGATATTAAAAATATATAAAGATTGAAATGTTTAGTTATTTTCGTATTAAATTATATTAAATGAAATGGATTACTGTAAATGCAGTGCTAGCACAGAGCTGTTTTGATCCCTGCAGATTGTGGAAGATAACCAGATATCTTAGAGGGAGTTACTGTAAATAACTGATGGTAAACAATTGTTAAATGTTATTTTAAAATACATTTAAAAAAAGCTTTTAATGCACACAGTACCATTGTGATTGTTTATATAATGCATTATGAACATACATATACAGTATGTTACAATATGCTTTTAGAACCATACAATTATAGTAACAAATTCATACATATCCATGATGCTTTATGGATTTATTTTTACAACACATCATGAAATCTATAATGACTTAATAAGGTAAGGTATCTGCATTAGAGATGGGCGTTATTTAGTAAAAAGCTAAATTATTTTCTCTTCATATTTGCTTCCAATTGTTTTTAAATGATTGTGTACACACACACACACACACACACACACACACACACACACACACACACACACACACACACACACACACACACACACACACACACACACACACACACACACACACACACACACACACAACACACACACGACACTACTACTCTCACACACACACACACACACACACACACACACACACACACACACACACACACACACACACACACACATACATTCACATTCACTGTGTATCACTGTGTGTTGAAGTACACTAATTGACTAATAGGTGTATTTCCATCACAGCTTGAGATGGTCTAACACGTGTTTTCGAGGCACATCACATAACTCTACGGTCACAGGACTGTCAGTAACATTATCACCACGAGGAACAGATTTACAGTTATCGTAACCTGCAGGACTTTCACGTGATAACAGGCAACAGTTGACGACCCGGTTATTTTAAAAGAGGAAGCTATACACTGCTGCTCAGATATAGACACAACATACATGACTCATTTTAGGTGGACTGAATGGCTGAAATAGTTTAGTTCATTATAATGTATTCTAACTTATTTATTTGTATTCTTAATTGTGTATTATATAGATACTATATCTTTCTGTATTTTTTTCAATGCTCATTTGTTTAAATAATATTGTAAATTATCTTAGTAAGACTTTAAATTCAAAAAAATTTATACATTATTTTCATTAAGAGTGATGTGAAACAATCAGAATAATGGCACAAACAAGGTATTCAAATGCTTTCAGATTTATTTCTTGTTACATACATGACACATCAAAGGTCATATTTTATGATTTCTTGTGCTGCGTTTCCTCTTCTCTGATGCTCATTCTTCAGCCTCCTTTCCCTTTAAATCAAGAAAAAACAGACAGTGAGAAGTTAGTGTTTTAACCCTTTGTCAAGAAGTAAAGATACAGGGCTTCGTTTTATAGTATAAGTATAATATATAAGTATGATTATATTGTACTTTGAATAAAATTAAATATAAATGAATATACCCTGACGATCTCCCGACTCTTTGCCCTCAGCTTGTTGACCTGAGACTCTGCGATGTCCGCCCGCTCCTCAGCCTCCTCCATCTCATGCTGCACCTTCCTGTACTTGGACAGGTGAGTGTTGGCCTGCTCCTCCTGCAGAACACCAATTTAAAGAAGTGACGCCTTGAACAATTCGACCCGTGTACGAGATGAAAAGCATTCAGTCAGGATGCATCATGCTGTCAGTCTTCTGGTGTTAGTGACACTGGTTTGACACCTATTTGCATTGCATGCGTCAAATATTTCACACTCACAGCCTCCTCAGACTGCCTCTTGTAGGCTTTCATTTTCAGCTGCAGCTTGTCCACCAGGTCCTGAAGTCGGGCGACATTCTTCTTGTCCTCCTCAGTCTAGAGGCAATATATAGTACAGGCGGTTTGAGGCCAACACAACCATCATTGCAACGTGTCAACATCTATTGTAAAACACTTGAGCGAACATTTCCTACATCCTACACAGTTAAGCCATTTCAGAAAGACTAACAAGACCAACCAAGCCGATTGCAAATACTAAATATATGAAATAATGCATAATAACAAGACCTTTAGAAAGGAATAATGGATTATGGTTGCTGATAGCTTCATGACATAATGTGAGCATAATTTGCACAAGCTATCGGCTCGATGCTAATGATATAATAATGATAACGAGCCCATGATGAATTGAAGCTGAGCACAATTTGCCCTTTTTCACAGATTGAGGGGGAAGAACTAGATAGTGTATTTGTTTAATCATAACTGTATCTTCATTCTTGTGTCTTTACAAAAAATACACGTGGGGCAGCTTTCATCTTTTTTTTTCATTAAAAACAAACAGTCATTTTATATACTTTCACCTCAATATATATGTTTTGGCAAACATATTTTGTACTTCAGTTACCAAGAACTCTGAACATGCTTATTATTTCACTGATCTTTTCGAATTGGACTGTTTTTCAAGTAGTGTCGTTTGCATATAAAGTTCAAGGTAAAAATCTGTTGAACAGATCTTTAAATATCACTCATGTGATCAAACGTATAAGCAGCTCCTCGTTGTATTTATAGCTGCAATGCAATGTTTATTTTCTGGCTGTGCTCCCCCTCACCACTGGGCTGTTGAAGCGTCAGAGATATTATGGTGATTACCGCCCTCTAGAGGTTTCAAAAAAATTCTACATCCAGTTTTTCAACATGGCAACAATTATAAAATTGCTTCAGACAATATCACATAATAATAAACAATTTGCGTGACTATTTCAAAAATACGTTTAAGGTGCACATTGTTTTGGTTCTCTGTACCTGGTAAGTCAGTTCCTTCACTCTGCGTTCATATTTGCGGACGCCTTTAACAGCTTCAGCTCCACGTTTCTGCTCCGCCTCCACCTCAGACTCAAGATCACGGACCTGAAAGATAAGCGGGGGTAAAAGTCAGCAGGTGAACCTCAATCATAACTTAATTTTATGATGAATAATAATGAACTTACCCTAGCCTCCAGTTTCTGGAGCTGCTTCTTGCCGCCCTTCATGGCCAGATTCTCGGCTTCATCCAGGCGGATCTGCAGGTCCTTCACTGTCACCTCCAGGTTCTTCTTCATCCTCTCCAAATGAGAGCTGGTGTCCTGCTCCTTCTTCAGCTCTTCTGCCATCATGGCGGCCTAAACATGGAGTGATTGCAAGAAGGCCAGTAAGCAGATAGATCAGGAGAAATGCACCCATTTTATAAAACAAAGGGAAAATAAAAGGATAGGTTACTACAGGAAATCACTAATGATGAAATTACAAAGTCCATAAAGTTAATGTCAAATTACTTTATCCCACGATGTGTTTGGTTATACATTTTTGATTAAAGTATTTCCCTGATATTCCTTTTATAGTTTACTGATTGTTTTATTTGATAAAATAAAGGATATAAAATAAGAGCACCAACTTACTAAAAGTACTACTTGTGTATAACCAATATGGATTGACATTGCTCAAATATAAAGTTTCCAACATGTTGATGGCTGATAATGACACTATTTTCTCTAACCCAGGTTGAAAATTATACTTTCTTAATAATTAGTTATTAGTAACCTGTGTAAAGTCTCAATTTCAATCTTGGAGCTTCTGCATAAGCAGCTGGGCATTGAATACATAACAAAATACTTAGCAGGACTCACATCAGTGATGGCTTTCTTGGCCTTTTCTTCAGCATTTCTGGCTTCCTGGATAGAGTCTTCCACTTCCCCTTGGATCTGGACAAGGTCAGTCTCTAACTTTCTTTTAGTGTTGATGAGATTTGTGTTCTAAAAAGGAAAAATATACAGTGAGGTTGCAAATGGTCTATACATTTAATACATGTCCTTGTATTTAACAGCACTGATAGAATAGAGGTAAGAACCTGAGCGTTCAGCAGTCCCACTCGCTCGCTGGCATCAACCAGCTCCTGTTCAGCCACTTTGCGGCACCTCTCTGTCTGCTCCAGTGCTGCTCTCAGCTCCTCGATCTCAGCCATCATCAGGTTGTTCCTGCGCTCCACCATGGCAACCTGCTCCTTCATGTCCGCCTCACCTCTGAGAGCTTCATCAAGGTGCAGCAGGGCATCCTGAATTAAACATGTCATAATTTCATCAGCAATTTCCATATGTTTAAGCCATGTAGCTTTATTTTTGAACATATTTATGTTAAATATTCAAGCCCAACCTTAAGTTGTCCCTGAACGTTTCTCAGCTGTTTCTGGGCTTCAGCTGCCTGGCGGTTTGCGTGGCTCAGCTGAACCTCCAGCTCATTGAGGTCTCCTTCCATCTTCTTCTTGATTCTCAGGGCATCATTCCTGCTCCTGATTTCAGAATCCAAAGTACTCTGCATGGTCTCAATCACTCTCTGGCTGTTTCTCTTGATCTGCTCAATCTCCTCGTCCTTCTCTGCAATTTTTCTGTCGACTTCATTTTTCACCTGGGTGAGCTCGAGCTGAACACGGATGATCTTTGATTCTTCGTGCTCCAGTGTAGCCTACAAAATAAAATGTAAAGTGATAACGTTTAAAGTATATGGATGGTTTCAGTGTTTGAATCAGGAAGCACCTTCTTTGTAAATAAGTTGTTTAAATACCTCTGCCTCTTCTAGGGCAGCCTGAACTTCTGCTCTATCATTCTCGGCTGTCTTCTTAGCCTTTTCCAATTCATGAATTGTCTTCCCAGATTCCCCAAGATTTTCAGTCAAATCTGTGATTTCCTCTGTTGAGAAAACAAAACACAAAACCCACTTAGTACATTAAAAAGCATTTCCCATCAAAGATTACTGTAAGTATTAAATTGACACTAAAAATGATGAACACTCTCTGCAGCTCTCAGGTCTTCTGTGAGGCTGTTCTACAGTCGCAGGCCATAATAACAAAAATAAGCCTCCCGTTAATATAAAAGGGCCTTGTGATGATCTAAAAAACGAATCTGATAAATAGCTCTTTAGATCTTTAAAAACTATTAAAAGCAATTAATTATGAAGCAAAAAGGTATCCAGTGCAGAGACTTCAAAATTGGAGTAATGTACAGTCTCTGTCTGGTCCTCGTTAATACTTATGCAGCTGAGTTTTGTTGCTGTAGAGCTATATTAGTTTTTGGAAGACAAAAACCAATTCAACAGGTAATACATACATTTGTTGATTTCAAATAGTGGTTCATAACTAAGTTTGAGATTCTGGTTTCAATATATTATATTGGAAGTTTTTAATCCAGTTTATTTTCCTGAGCTCCAGAATCAATAACCAGGACTTGGCCCCAATTGAGCTTTAGAAAATGCTCAGCCATCCATAGCTTACTATTAAAAAGGGCATATATTGGTTCTGAGTCATGACATGATAATGTATAGATGTGTGTCGTCAGCATAACTATGGAAACTTGTCTCCTAATGATGCTTCCAGGTAGTAGCATATATAAATTAAAAAGTGAAGGACCTACAATTGAGCCTTGAGGAACACCACAATTAATTATATAGCTCTTAGATTACCATTAATTAAAGTATAGAGTACTAAATAATGTTCTTATTAGTACAAGATTCAAGCCAATATAAAACAGTAAAGTGCCAACAAGATTGTGAAGTTTATTTAAAAGAATCAAATGGTCTGTAGTATCAAAAGCAGCACTTAGGCAGTGTAGTACTTAACTTGGTTTTGAAATCTTTTTCAGTATAAATGGTGCCACTGTTAATGATTTAACTTAGTTTAGGGTTAACATTTTCAACAATGTATCACAAGAGGTGATACAAATGTCTACAGGATTTAAAGTACTTAATGTTTGTTGTCTTACGTTGCAGGTTCTTGTTCTCTCTCTTCAGGGTCTCCAGGTGATCTATCGCTTCTTCATATGAATTCTTCAGCTTGAACATCTCTGTGCTGAGAGAACGAGCTTCCTTTAGAGATCCCTCCAGCTCTGCCTGGCTTTCCTCAAACTTCTGCTTCCACTCTGCAAGAACCTGAACATGTAAAAAACAAATTAGTGTATTATGTCACCTCACA